AAAAAGACGAGGATCCTCAACAAGATGGACTGACACAGTGGCTGCAACAGTGTGGTCAGATATAGCAACAATTGTGAGGATGGTGCAGGACTGGGCAGTGTTTTGTTCTCTTGTACTCACTGTGTGTTGGAACTGACTCAAGGGCACCTAACCGCAACAACCTATTCAAGTTCACTGATTCTTCTGCCCACTGAGATATGCTATTCAGCTGCTAATTTAGCTATTGTACTTTTCAGTTCCAAAATTTGTTTGGTTTATTTATAATCTATATCTTTTTATGGATATTCTCATTTTCTTGTTAGTTGCTGACCCCATGTGTGTGGTTCAACTGCTCCATAGGGTTGTCAAGGCTGTGCCCTTTTGGAAGCAATATGCCAGGCCTGTCTTCTGAGTGCCTCTGAATGAGTTCAAACCACCAACCTTTTAGGTAGTAGTTGAGCACTTCATCTTTGGAGCCACTCAGGTACTCTGATTTTGTTAATTCAGGCAGTCCCCAGGTTACAAACAAGATTCATTCCTAAGTCTTTTACGTTGAATTTGTAGTAAGTTGGAACAGATACATACGGTTCTTACTTAGCATCAATTAGATGTTTATCTTAGTATGTATTTTACTTCTCTATCCATAAAAGCACTTAAGAAACATTTACAAATACATTAATACGTCTTAAACATAATAATGCAGTACATGATAATGATAATAATACAGTAATAAGTAATGTACTGAAGAGAAAAAGAGACTGTGTGTAGGTATACAGATTGCTTTATTATTTTAATCGTGATCATTTTCTTTTACTTTGATGCATCACCAGCACTAACATCGAATTTACACATTGCAACGTGGTTACAAGAGTAAATAAGAGAAAAATTTAAGCCAAATACAAAGTTACACACAACACAGTGTTAAAAGCAACATGATCCAACTTAAAATGGCAGGCGACATTCTCCTTCTGAAGCCCTCAGTCACAAAGTAGAGCGGGTGTTTGTTATTATGAACCATTGTATTTAACTCAAATTTTTAATGTAATAGGCTTTATGGGCCCTTCTTAAGTACGAGCTGTCCGTAAGTCAGACATTTGTCAGCCGGGGACTTACTGTACATCTTTTTCCTTTAGTTCTTTGTCCGTGTTTTCCTTTAGCTGTTTCTCTGTAGCCCACTCTAGGGCTGCGGCCTCCCACCACTGTAAGATGGCCACCTAACCAGGGAGCAGTTGAGGCATGGGCAAGTAGAAAATTCTACAAAGCTTTCCTACCATTTAAAGTCACCTTTATCTTGACTCTGCGTTTGCTTAGTGTAAACGTTTGGTTCCAAAGGTCTTACAGAGTTGAACATTTTCTGCTTGTGTATGTGTGTGTGTTTCCTGGTGGACAGAGCTGACCCATGTCCCGTTTCTCTCCATCTCTTTCAATATTTGTGTCATCTTAAATGTAATGTGGACTTCTTGTAGACCAAATACTTTGTGTTTTAATTGCTTTATTTAGATAGGTGATTTTTGATATAGTTTTATTAATATCTACCTTATTACTGTTTTCTATTTTTTGCTGTTTCTTTTTTGTCTTACACACTTTTCTCCCTTCTCCTGTTTTAATAGAGCATTCTATGTGATTCTGTTTTCTCTCCGCACTTAGCATATAGATTACAGACTGTAATATGTATATGTAACATGTATATGCTAAGTTATATGTACTTCTGGCAATGCTGTAAAAGGAAATGGTGAACATATGATTGGATATTGGAGGGAAGGTAGTCCGTTTTATGCAGTGCCAAAGAACTTGGGTGAATTATGTTCCAATGTTTGGTGGAAGGTAAAACTCGTGTCTGTGCTTTCTGTCTCTGCCCTACAGTGCTTGCCGTGTATTTATCCAGAACTGTTTACTTTTTTTCCATTGGTCTCTTTGTTTATTCCTATGCTAATACTATACTGTCCAGTATATTATAGCTTAACTTATAAAACAGATATATAAAAACCAAAGATAAACGAAACCCGTTGCCACTGAGCCAATTCCAACTCATAGCGACCCTATAGGACAGAGTAGAACTGCCTCATAGGGTTTCCAAGGAGTGGCTGGTAGGTTTGAACTGCCAACCTTTTGGTTAACAGCTGAGCTGTTAACCACTGCGCCACCAAGGCTCCGAAGTAAATATATAAACATATAAAAATATGTATCATATGTTTTGACAAGCTCTCTTGTCTTATTCCTTAGGACATCTTGGCTGTGGACATTTCCACTTCCATATACATTTTTGAAGTTTTGTGTGTGATTGTGTGAAATTATACAGTGAAACCTGTGAGAGTTGGAACTCGATGGGACTGCTTTGTTTTTCCCAGTCTTGCAAGTTTCCACCTGTGACAAGGTTCAGTCACCACTTTTCTGTCTTGTTTTAGTGGAAAATATTTCTTTCCTTTTCTGACAAGTTTCCACCCTTACACGGGTTTTGGGTTTCTTACATTTTACTGTATAAAAAATAAAATTGGTTAGAATGTTATGGAAATATATTGGAAATAATGATCTATTAATATTTGTGGAGAAGAGTTTTCTAAGAGCATGCTCTTTTATTTCAGTTCATTTGGATGTCACTTAATGTTTCATGATTTTTCCATTGTTGTGTGCCATAGAGTCATTCTGACTCATAGGGACCCTGTATGACATAGTAGAACTGCCTCAGAGGGTTTCCTAGGCTGTGATCTTTACGGGAGCTGATCACCACGTCATTTCTCCCACAGAGCCGCTGGTGTTTCAAACCACTGGCCTCAGAAGCCGAGTGGTAACCATTGCACCATTATTAATTACACTCCTTTTTGCTATCTTTTATTTTTGCTATAGTATATGTTATCTTTTTGAAATTAATTTCTCAACTCATTGATGCTGGTGTCTGTAAATGAAATATGTAAAATAATCTTACTTTGATATTTCTTTTGTTATCCAAATACTTGCTTAAATCTCTCAGTCCTATAATCATCAGTGCCATCTTTTGGAGGCTCTACATATACAATTGTTTAACCTGTAAAATGGATTGTGGTGGGGTTCCCCCGCCCCCCGACCTTTAACATTTTATTGGTTCACCTTTTTTCTTTTTTGGTATGTACCAACAACAATCTCTAGCATAATGTTGAATAGGAATGAAATAATAAGTTTCCTTGTTTTTTACTTGGTTTTACTGGGAAAGTGTTGAAGTTTTCAGTATGTATGTTCTTTGATGCGCATGTTTTGTGTATGCTCATTTTCAGATTGTGAATGTTCCTATACATTTCTAAATTTAATGTTTTTGACATACGTGCAGAAAAATTTATAATAAACTTAAACAGTTGAGTGAAACATAAAATGAACATCCATGTAATGCAGATACCCTTACTCCTGACTCCCCCTCCATGAGTTGATTTTCAGTCACAGTCTTCTCTGCCCTCTTGATATAATCAGTATCTTAACATTTATGATCATTATTTCTTTGTGTTTTTTTATACGTTTATCAATTACATCAGCATACCTAAATCCATATATTTTGCTTTCGGTGGTCTATGTTGTAAACAAATAGAATCATATGTACTTCTTATGTTAATTTTTTTAGGTTAAATGTACATCAGAAAGACTCGTAATGGACTGTTTAATTGCTCAGTACTGTTTTCTTGCAAGAATATACTATAATAATTTAACAGTTCTCTGAAGATACTTGGGAAGCTCTCATTTTGGGGCTATTATAAACAATATTTTTATGGTTTTAGCTGTCATATGTAGGTCATTGATCCAGTTTGAATAAGTTTTTGTATATGATGTGAGACGGATCTAGCTTCATTCTTCTGCATGTGGAAATTAAGTTGCTCCAGCACCATCCATTGAAGAGACTTTCCTTTCCCCATATGAACAACTCTTTCAAAGACTTTCTTTTTTATATGTCTTTTCCTTTTGGACTTCTTACCTTCATTTTGGTCTCAACAGGCTCCAAGGAACCTCTGCATCATCCATAAGATGTGCTCCCCGTGCAGCCTTCTACATCCTTCCAGTTTTCGTGGGCAGATATTTTGGATTCATCCTTGCCACCTCTTTCTCACATCCGCAGCCATCAGTTCATCAGGAAAATCTGTTGCCTCTACCTTAAAAGTCTAGGCATCCCTTGCACACACACATTTCTACTGCCACCACCCCAGTCTCAACTGTCACCATTTCTTATCTGATTATGGCCATAACGTTCTAATATATCTCCTAGGTTTTATGTTTGTCCCCTACACACTGGTTCTTTAAGAGCTGTGACATCAGTTTTCTCTTCTGCTTCAAAGTATAAGATTGCTGTGCATTTCATATAGATTAGAAACCAGCATCTTTTCAGTGGCCAACAAGTTCCCCAGAATATGATATGGCCACTAACTCCAATCACCTTTCCAAATCCCTCTGCTGTTACTCTCCCACCTATCACTGCTCCAGTCACACTGGCCTTTTGCTCTCCCTGAAACATGGCAAGACACACTCCCACCTTCTGGCTTGTGCTCTGGCTGTTTCCTCTTCCTGGAACAGTCTCTTCTCGGATATCCCATGGGTAATTCCTTTCACATCCCTCAAGTCTTAGCTCAGATCTTTGTTTTCAATGAAGCGCACTGTGAATAGTCTAATTAATACTGCTACTTATGCTTTTAGCACCGTCAGTACTCTAGATCCTGCTCTACTTTTTATTTTTTCCATTGCGCTCATCACCTTTACATAAGATATTTAATGGTGGATTGCTGATTTCTGACTAACCATTTAGAGATCTCTGAGTTTTTCATTGATATATCCCAATTATAATACATAGAAGAATGACTTACGTATTTTAGTTTGATTTTCTGTTCATCCATTTTTGTTTTTTTAATATATTTTTGAGCATTTTTAGGTTTCAGAAGAATTGATTGTAGAGTTCCCGAATGTCCCTACTTCCTCTTTCTTCCCCCTTTAGTTTTCCATAGCATCTTGCATTAGTGTCCTACATTTTTTTTATGTTTGATGAATATTGATACATTCTTATCAATTAAAGTTCCTAATTTTCATTAGGGGACACTCTTTGGCTTTACACTTTTATGGGTTTTGACAAATGGCGTAATTCATGTATCCACCGTTATCATATCATGCAGAATAATTTCTCTGCCCTAAAATGCCTTTTGCTCCACCTATTCATCCCTATCCCCCATCCCTGAAGCCTTGCCACCTTTTTACTATCTCCATAGTTTTGCCTTTTCCAGAATGTTTTATAGTTGAAATCATATAGTATGTAGCCTTTTCAAATTGTTTTCTTTTACTGAGCAATATTCATTTAAGTTTCCACCATGTTTTTTTGTGATTTGATAGCTCATTTTTTCTTATCGGTCAGTAATATTCCAGTGTATGGATGCTCTCTGGTTCACTGGTATAGAATTCTTACCTTCCATGCAGGAGACAGATATTCGATACTAGCTAATCCACTTCAAGCACAGCCACCATTGGAGGCTTGTGAGTTGCTGTGATTCTGAACAAGCTTCAGCAGAGCTTCCACACTCGGACAGGCTAGGAAGAAAGGCCTGATGATCTACTTCTGAAAACTCATCCAGTGGAAACCCTGTGACTCACGAGTCCGATCCCATGGGGTGGCCGTCAATCAGTGGCTGACTCGACAGCAGCTGACAGCAACAGCAAGATCGATGCACCCCAGTTTGCATATCCATTCACCTATTGAAGGACATCTTGGTTGCCTCCAATTTCTGGCAATTATGAAAAAAGCTCTAGATTTTTGTGTGGAAGTACACTTTCAGCTCATTTTGGGTAAATACCAAGGAGTGCAATTGCTGGATCATATGGTAAGAGATTGTTCAGTTTTGTAAGCACTGCCAAACTGTTTTCCAAACTGGTGGTATCCCACCAGCGGTGACTGAGAGTTACTTTTGTTCCACATTCTCAACAGCATTTGGTTTTGTTAGTGGTTTAGATTTCAGCCATTCTGATACATAGGATGATGGAGCCCTGGTGGCCGAGTGGTTAAAAGCTTGGTTGCTAACCAGAAGATTGGCATTTCAAATCTACTAGCCACTCGTTGGAAACCCTATGGTGCGGTTCTGCTCTGTCCTGTAGGGTCCCTGTGAGTTGGAATTGACTCGATGGCAACGGGTTTGTCTTACTGGTGTTTTAATTTGTAATTCCCTGAAGACACATGATGTTGAGCTTCTTTTCATGTGCTTGTCATTTGTGTATCTTCTTCAGTGAGTGTCTGATTTTCCCATTTTGTAATTGGGTTTTCGTTTTCTTGTTTTAGGAAAAAGTTCTTTATATATTTTGAATAGCAGTCCTTTATCAGATAATGTGTTTTGGAAAGATTTTCTCCCACTTAGTGGCTTGTCTTTTCACCCTCTTAACGGTATTTTTTGCAGAGCAAAAGTTTTTAATTTTAATGAAGTCTAATTTATCCTTTTTTTTTTTCCTGTCAGGGATCATGCTTTTAGTGTCATACCTAAAAAGTCACTGTCAAATACAGGATCAGCTAGATTTTCTCCTATGCCGTCTTCTTGGAGTTTTATAGTTTTGCATTGACGTTTAGGTTTTTGATCCATTTTGAGTTAATGTTTGTGAAAGCTGTCTGTACCTAGAATCCTTTCAATGTATATGTAGATATACTATTTCTCGTATTATTTATTGAAAAGGCTATTCTTCCATCATTGAATTGTCCTTGGTCTTTTCTCAAAGATCAAATGATTCTATTTGTGTCTATTTCTGGGCTTTCTCTTCTGTTGCATTGATTTGTCTATTCTTTCACCACTACCACACTGTCTTGATTGCTGTAGCTTTAGGGTAAATCATGAAGTGGTATAGTGTCAGTCTTCCAGCTTTTTTGTTTTTAATATGTTGCCTGTTCTGACCCTTTGCTGTTTTCATATAAATATCACAAAATTTGTCACTATCCTGGAAATAACTCTCTGGGCTTTTCCTTGGGATGGCATTGAATCTATAGATCAATTTGGGAAGAGCTGCATCTTACCTATGTTGATTTTTCCTACTCATGAACATGGAATATATCTGTTTATTTAGATATTCTTTGATTTCTTTTATCATAGTTTTGTTTTCCTTGTATAGATCTTTTTCATATTTTGTTAGATATATACTATTTTATCTTTTATTGTAGTTGATGAAAATCAGTTATGTTTTTAATACGAAATTTTAATTGTTCTTTATTAGTGTATAGGAAAGCAATTGACGTTTGTATATTTTTATCCTGCATAAGCTGGACTATATGAAGAAGAATGTGGCATCAGGATTGGTGGAAGATTCATTAACCTGCGATCTGCAGATGACACAGCCTTGCTTGCTGAAAGCGAAGAGAACTTGAAGCTCTTACTGATGAAGATCAAAGACCACAGCCTTCAGGATGGATTACACCTCAACATAAGGAAACAAAAATCCTCACAACTGGACCAGTAAGCAACATCATGATAAATGGAGAAAAGATTGACGTTGTCAAGGATTTCATTTTACTTGGATCCACAATCAACACCCATGGAAGCAGCAGTCAGGAAATCAAATGACATATTGCATTGGGCAAATCTGCTGCAAAAGACCGCTTTAAAGTGTTAAAAAACAAAGATATCGCTTTTAGAACTAAGGTGCGCCTGACCGAAGCCATGGTGTTTTCAGTTGCCTCATATGCATGTGAAAGCCGGACAATGAATAAGGAAGACTGAAAAAGAATTGATGCCTTTGAATTATGGTGTTGGAGAAGAATATTGAGTATACCATGGACTGCCAGAAGAATGAACAAAACTGTCTTGGAAGAAATACAGCCAGAGTGCTACTTGGAAGCAAGGATGGTGAGACTTTGTCTCACGTACTCTGGACGTGTTATCAGGAGGGACCAGTCCCTGGAGAAGGACATCATGGTTTAAAGTAGAGGGTCAGCAAAGAAAGAGGAAGACCCTGCACGAGATGAATTGACAGTGGCTGCAACAATTGGCTCAAACATAACAATTGTATGGATGGTGCAGGACCAGGCAGTGTTTCATTCTGTTGTACGTAGGGTTGCTATAAGTTGCAACTGACTGGACGGCACCTCACAACAATAACAACATCCTGCATCTTCGGTAGGATTATTAGTTTTAGGAATTCTTTTGTTGAGTCTTTGGGATTGTCTGCAGTCAGTCATTTCATTTGTTAACAAAGACTGAATACCTTTAAACAAATAATTTATTTTAGAAGGATGAGCACAAAGATTGTTCCTATGTGGCAGAGGTTAAAGATGTCCCAGATATCCAGCTTTGCAAGCTACTATACCACTCCCATCATCTCTAGCATCAACTACTCCCTCTTCCCCCAGAACTCTCCCTCCCATCTTTGGATTCGCTAACTCGCTGTAGTGTCTCACAGAACTCACGAACTGTCTCACAGAATTCATGAACTGTATAAAGGAAATGGCTCACGTGGTTGTGGAGGTTGGCAAGTCCCAAATTCTTGAGTCAGGCATAGGATTCTCCCTGGCCCTCAGTCTCTGCCCAAAGGCACTCAGCTTTCTCGCTTCGTGGGCCCAGAAGCGTCCTGTGCCGTCTCCTGCGAGTCTGTCCTTCAGGTCTCTCCTGACTTGGTGGTGGTGGGCTCTTGTCTCTTCTCTGGAATTGGCTCTCTTTTAAGGTAAAACTGACCAATCCCCTAGTGGGCCACGATCATCTTATTTGCACAGCCCCCCACCCCACCCCCAGTCACCTGGGTGGGAGTCACAAGACCATGGCAAGAAAATCTATACTAAGTAATTCATCACACCACAACCTTTTATCAGTCTGAATACCTTTTCTTTGTTTTGTCATTGCATTACTTAGGACATCTACTACAATGTGGAATAAGAGTGGTGAGTGGAGACATCCTTGCCTTGTTCCCAATCTTAGCAGAAAGGATCTAGTTTCTCATCAATAAATATGTGTTAGCTGCAGGTTTTTTGTAGATGTTCTTTATCAAGTTGAGGACCTTTGCTACCTTTTCCTGGTTTGCTGAGAATTATCATTAATGGGTGTTGGATTTTGTTAAATGCTTTTTCTATATAGGTATATTTGTGTGATTTTTCTCTTTAATTTGTTGATAGGATCGATGACATTAATTGATTTTCTAGTGTTGAACCAGCCTTGCATACATGGAATAAATCTTGCATAGTTGTAGTGTATGATTTTTCTTATATACTGTCGGATTTCATTTCTTAATGTTTTTTGAGGTGTTTTACTGCTATGTTCATGACAGCCCTTGGTCTGTAGTTTTATTTTTTCTAATATCTTTGTCTACTTTGTATTTGAGTAATGCTGGCTTCATAAAATTATTTTGGAAGTATTCTTCTATTTTCTGGAAGAGATATCGGAATTGGTATACTTTCTTCATGCTTGGTGGTGGTGGTGGTAGGTGCTGTCAAGTTGGTTCCGACTCATAGTGACAGTATGTACAACAGAGCAAAACACCGCCCAGTCCTGTACCATCCTCGCAATCGTTGCTATGTTTGCACCCATTGTTGAAGCCACTGTGTCAATCCATCTCTTTGGGGGTCTTCCTCATGTTTGGAAGAACTTATCATTGAACCTGTGTCAGCCCAGTGCTTTTTGTTTTGAAAGGTTTTAAGTAACTGATTTAATTATTTAACAGATAATAGGCCTACTTAGATTATCTATTTTTCCTTCTGTATGCTTAGGTAAATTGTGACTTCCGAAGAACTGGTCCATTTTATCTGGTTTATTAAGTTTGTGGGCATGAAGTTATTCATAATAACTCTTTATTCTTTCAATGTCTATAAAATCAATAGTAATGGTCCTTCTTTCATTTCTTATATTAGTCATTTGTGTCCTTTCTGTTTTTTCCTTAGCCTATCTAGAGGTTTGTCAATTTTATTGATTTTTCAAAGGACCGGATTTTTGTTTTGTTGACTCTTTCTATTGATTTCCTATTTTCATTTTCATAGATGTGTTCTCTAATTTTTCTTATTTCTTTTCTTCTGGTTACTTGGAATTTAATTTGTTCTGATTTTTCTAGTTTCCTAAGATGGAAGCTTAGGTTGATATTAGATCTTTCTTCTCTTCTGATATGTGCAATGAATGCTATAAATTTTCTTGAAGCACTCCTTTCTTTGAATCCAGCATATTTTGATAAGTTGTAGTTTTGTTTTCATTTTTTTAAAATATCTTCTAATTTCTCTTGAGACTTCTTTGTCCCATGTGTTATTTTGAAGTGTGTCATTTAATTTCTAAGTGTTTTGAAATTTTCTAGCTATTTTCTGTTATTCATATCTAGTTTGTTTCTCTTGTGGTCTGAGAGCATAATCTATGATTCCTGATCATTTAAATATGTTAATGTGTTTTGTGTCCAAGATTGTGGTCTATCTTGGTGAATGTTACCTGTGAGTTTGAGAAGACTTTATTCTACTGCTTTTAGATGACATATTCTAAAAATGTCAGTTAGACCCACTGGATTGATGTTGTTAGCTCAACTATGTCCTTACTAATTTTCTGCCTGCTGGATCAATAAATTGGAAACCCTAGTGACATAGTGGTTAAGAGCTACGGCTGCTAACCAAAAAGGTCAGCAGTTTGAATCCACCATGCACTCTTCGGATACTCTATGGGGAAGTTCTGCTGTGTCCTATAGGGTCGCTATGAGTCAGAATCGACTCAACCGCAACAGGTTTTGTATCAGTAAATTACTGATGGGTGCTGAAGTCTAAACTGTGTCACCTGTATTCAGATACGAACAGGGTCACCCATAGTGGACAGGTTTCAACAGAGCTTCCAGACTAAGACTAGTAAGAAGGACCCGGTGGTCTACTTCTGAAAAAAATGGCCAGTGAAAACCTTATGAGTAACAGCAAAACATTGTCTGGTATGATGTCAGAAGATGACCTCCTCAACTTGGAAGACACTCAAAATATGACTAGGGAAGAGCTGCTTCCTCAAAGTAGAGTCTACCTTAATGACATGGATGGAGTCGTTTTCGGGGCTTTCATTTGCTGATGTGGCACGACTCAAAATGAGAACAGCTGAAAACATCCATTAATAATTGGAACATGGAATGTATGAAGTATGAATCTAGGAAAATTGGAGATTGTCATAAATGAAACAGGACACATAAAGATCGATATCCTAGGCATTAATGAGCTGAAATTGGCTGGTATTGGCCATTTTTTATCAGGCAATCATATGGTCTTCTCTGTTCAGATTGACAATTGAAGAGGATTGGCATTGCATTCATTGTCAAAGAACATTTCAAGGCCTATCTTCAAGTACAAGGCTGTCAGTGATAGAATAATATCTGTGTCTACAAAGAGGACCAGTTAATACGACTACTATTCAAATTTGCACACCAACCACTCGTGCCAAGGGTGAGGAAATTAAAGGTTTTTATGAACCTCAAGCACTGTGAAATTGATGAAACATGCAATCAAGATGCCTTGATAATTACTGGTAATTGGAATGTGAAAGTTGGAAACAAAGAAGGTTGTATCCTTGGAAAATAGGGTCTCAGTGATAGAAACGATGCCGAAGATTGCATGATAGAATTTTGCAAGAACAGTGACTTCCTCATTGTAAATAACCTTTTTTCAACAATATAAACAGCAACTATACACAGAACTCACCATGTGAAAAACAGAAGAATCAAATCGACTATATCTGTGGAAAGAGCAACTTAATATCAACAGAACAAGGCCAGGGGCCAACTGCAGAAGAGACCATCAGTTGGTCATATGCAAGTTCAAGTTGAAGCTGAGGAAAATTAGAGCATGTCCGTGAGAGCCAAAATACAACCTTGAGTATATCACATGTGAATTTAGAGACCATCTCAAGGATAGATTCGGCCCATTGAACACTAGTGACTGAAAATCAGATAAGTTGTGGAATGACATCAAGGACAGCATACACGAAGAAAGGAAGAGGTTATTAAAAAGACAGGAAAGAGAAGACCAAAATGGATGTCAGAAGAGACTCTGAAACCTCGTCTTGAACATTGAGTAGCTAAAGTGAACGGAAAAAATAAAACAGCTGAAGATTTCAGAGGGTGGCTCAAGAAGGCAAAGTAAAGTATTTCAATGAAATGCACAAAGACCTGGATGTACAAAATCAAAAGATAAGAACATGCTCAGCATTTTTCAAGCTAAAAGAACTGGAAAAAAATTCACTCCTTGAGTTGCAGGATTCTATGGGGAAAATATTGAACAACACGGGAAGCATCAAAAAAAAAAAAAAGATGGAAGGGATAAACAGTCACTGTTCCAAAAATAATTGATTGACTTTCAACCACTTTAAGAGGTAACATATTGTTAAGAACTGATGGTGATTGTCTTAGTTATCCAGTGCTGCCATAACAGAAACACCACAAGTGGATGGTTTTAATGAAGAGAAGTTTATTTCCTCATAGTTAAAATAGGCTAAAAGTCATCAGCTCCAGGGGAAGGCTTTTTCTGTTTCTCGGCCTTCTCATCAGTGTTCCCCTGGACTAGGAGCTTCTTGGCGCAGGGACCCCGGTCCAAAGGACATGCTTTGCTCCTGGCGCTGCTTTCTTGATGGTATGAGGTCCCCCTGTCTCTCTGCTCCCCTCTGTCTTTTATATCTCAAGAGATTGCCCCAGGACACAATCCAGTCTTGTAGATCAGGTCGTGCCTTACTAACACAACTGCCACCTATCCTCCCTCATTAACATCATAGAGGCAGGTTTACAACATACAGGAAAATCACACAGTACCAGGAATTATGGCCTAGCCAAACTGATACACACTTCTGGGGGGACATAATTCAAACCATAACAGTAATGAAGGAAGAAGTCCAAGCAATGCTGACGGGAATGGTGAAAAGGCTCCAGGAATTGGTGGAATACCGATTAAGAGGTTTCAGCAAATGGATGCAGCACTGAAAGTCCTCACTTGTCTATGCCAAGAAATTTGGAAAACAGTCTCCTGGTCAACTGACTGGAAGAGATTGTTGTTTTTGCTCATTCCAAAGAAAGGTGATGCAGGAGAATGCAAAAATTGCCAAACAATAATCACACACAAGTATAAAGTTTCACTGAAGATCATTCAAAAGAGGTTGCAGCAGTATATCAACAGGGAACTACCAGAAGTTCAAGCTGGATTCAGAAGAGGACATGAAACAAGGGATATCATTACTGATGTCAGATGGATCTTGTCTGACAGTAAAGAATACCAGAAATATGTTTAGCTCTGTTTTATTGACTTTGCAAAGCATTCAGCTGTGTGGAGTGGATCATAACAAATTACGGGTAACATTGTAAAGAACAGGAATTCCAGAACACTTAATGGTGCCCAAGAGGAACCTATACATAGACCAATAGGCAGTCGTTTCAAAAGAACAAGGAGATACTGGGTGGTTTAAAATCAGGAAAGGTGTGCATCAGGGTTGTATCCTTTCACCATACCTATTCAGTCTGTATGCTGAGTTAATATGAGAAGCTGGACTATATGAAGAATGGGGCATCAGGATTGGAGGAAGAGTCATTAGTAGCCTGTGATTTGCAGATGACACAACCTTGCTTGCTGAAAGTGAAGAGGACTTGAAGCACTTACTGATGAAGTTCCAAGATTACAGCCTTAAATGTGAAATGCACTTCAACATAAAACAAAAATCCTCATAACTTATCCAGTATGCAACATCATGATAAATGGAGAAAAGATTGAAGTTGTCAAGGGTTTTATTTTACTTGGATCTATAGTCAAAACCCATGGAAGCAGCTGTCAAGAAATCAAATGGCGCATTTCTTTGGGCAAATGTGCTGCAAAAGGCCTCTTTAAAGTGTTAAAAAGCAAAGATGTCATTTTGAAGACCAAGGTGCACCTCATCCAAAGCGTAGTATTTTCAGTCACCTCATATGCATGCCAAAGCTGGACAGTGAATAAGGATGATTGAAGAATTGATGCCTTTCAATTATGGTGTTGGCAGAGAATATCATATGGACTCTCAGAAGAACAAACAAATCTCCTGGAAGAAGTACAGCCGGAATGCTCCTTAGAAGCAAAAATGACATGACTTCGTCTCACATAATTTGGACATGTTATCAGGAGGGACTAACTCCTGGAGAAGGAGTTCATGCTTGGTAAACTAGAGGGTGTGCAAAAAAGATGACCCTCTCATGTTTCCTGTCTCTCAATTGAGCTCTGTTTAATTTTTCAATACCTTGCCTGTTCCCATGTAAGGAACAGACAGTATGATAGCAGAACTGCTCGCTTACTGAAAAATAAATGACAAAGATTTGTAATTCTTGAGAAGAATATCTTCTCTGTAGGTGTCTTTCATCTCCTGATCATTTGGAATTTTTCTGGAAAATAGGATGACATCAGGACCTTGAGTTGCCAGTTTATGTGGGCTCCTGGGCCTCCTATGGTGAGGGGCAAAAGGAAACAGTGTCATTTCTTTAGTGTTTGCCTATTGTAAATGTCTCATCCTTCTTTTTCCTGTGCTTCATATTTTGTTGAGTGTTCTGGTCAGCCTTTTTGAAAGAGGTGAAATTGTGTTTTCACAAGAAAGTGATGATCTAAATGTAGAAATAATACTTTCATTTGTAGAGCTTTTTTCTGATTACTGTTATGTGCTCTGACTTCTAGCCCATAACAATAGAGTGGAATAACACCGGAATTGGTCACAATCAAATCGTAGAGTAATAATTTCAGTTGGGAGTATTGTTAAGTCTATGAGACAGGATACAGTGAGGAAGTGAATGTAGACAGTGAAGGCAAGGGGTCAATAGCTAATCCCTAGGGTAGACCTTGGTAGAACATAGAAGCTTGTGCCAAATCCCTAAGAATTCTCGGTTTCCCAGGACTGTTACCCTCACTCTTCCTTTTGCACACATTGGAGAACATGGTACCTTGTTGATCCAGAATATGTGGCATGTTTTAGGACTCACTTGTCATTGAGGATGTGGCTGTGGACTTTACTCAGGAAGAGTGGACTTTGCTGGATCTTCCTCAGAGGAAACTCTACAGAGATGTGATGATAGAAACCTTGAGAAACCTGGCCTCAATCGGTGAGGATGGCATTTTTTTTTACTTACTCTTTTAATAGCCAAATGTATCATACTCATCAACCCTGTGCTAGCATTTGGGCTGAGTAATGGAAATACGTTGATAAATAATACAGGGATGGTCATTTATTTTGTGGAGCTTACATATTCTGGCTTCCCCATAAACTAATAAAACTCTGTGTATTAAAATGACTTTATTTTTCTTGTGGTTAGAAGTCTTCAGGCACTTTTAAGTGTTGTATGTGTGAGAATTGGCCCCATGGCACACTTGGGTACTGAGAGTAGATTTGTGGTTTGGGACCTTGAAAATTGTTTTATTGTATTTATTGCAAGTTTGTCATGATGATTTTGCTGAAAATAAACTCATACCACCATTTCAGGAGACTGTGAAGACCACAGTAGCCTTTCAGTGTAAATGGAATGTTCATTGCTCTTCACTGTCTTTTCCCATAATAACTTTTTCTCCATGAGTACCACATCAGCTACACACATTTATTTTCCCAGATAACCCAGAGAAAGATCTGAGGAGAGTACAGATAGGACTCATTCAGGGCCACTGTGTTGGGGAGCAGCAGGAAGTCCAAAATCCTTTGAAGGATTAGTTGTATATAGAGGAAATTAGATTTGAATAAATCAGTTAGAAAATGTCTTTTTGGGTTGAGAAGAGTTATCTTCACAGATATCTGAGCTTTTCTGACTTTCCTCAATCTTCTCACATCTGTGTTCATAAAGACCTTCCCCTTTTCCTTTTCTGTGTACATAGTGCATTTTTATGTTACATGTGTCTTTGTTGATGTATTCCGTAGTAAATTACTTTCTGACCATTGCCAGACATCCGAATGCCTCAGAGTCCTTCTTTGTTCACAGCTGTCTTTTTCCTTCTAATAATTCCCTTGTTTTCTGTTTCATATTGTGAGCCTCAATTTCAATCATTTTGTCAGTTTCTCGAGACGTTAATGATGGAGGAAAATTATCTAATGAACATATTACAGAGGAAATCATGAAGAAAACCACCTGGTTTTCCATGTTAGGAGAAATCTGCGAATTGCATGGCACTGAAGATCAGCATGAAAACCAAGGGATACATATGAGGTGAGTGTCATTCACACAAAAGAGAGCAGTGCCTCAGGAGACAGTCTTTAGTTAAATTAAAAAAAAAAAAGAGTAAAACCTGTGAAAACCAGAACCTGTGTAAGACAGAAAACTGTCAGCTAATGAAAACTTAAACTTCCACTGAAACAAGTGAAGAGTACTCTTAAAATATTTAAGATTGTACCGTCAAAGGTGGAAACTTGTGAGACCCAAAAAACAAGGCAGTTCTGTTGAGTTCCAGCTCTCACCGGTTCACTGTATCGATAGCTATCTATATCTGTCTGTCTAGAGACAACTAGCTCTAAAATTGTGTGTTCAGGGAATTTTTACAACATACTCTTACCATAAATGTGAGTCAGATACTGAGTATTTGAAATATGTTGCACTTGTACACAATTGTTAGAAAGCCTATTTTTGAAACACTGTCGGTAAAGGTAGCGTCTCTATTAGATGATTTAATCTATGAAGCATGAGACAACTCAGGGCAACAAACATACACATTCACTGTTTTCATAATGGTGAAATGGCAGCAAGCTTATTCCCAACAGCATGTTCCCCTTTTCTTTAACAGACGGCATGTGATAGAGAACCTTTGTAAAAGTAGCAACGACAGTCACTGTGGGAGAACCTTAAACCAGATTCCAGGTCTTACTGTGCTCCAAACAACTACTGAATTAAATGCTTTTGAATGCCCTGAGTGTGGAAAAGCCTTCATGGATCATTCATCACTTAAGCATAATGTGAGATCTCACACTGGATGCAGTGCCTGTCAGTGTAAGGCACGTGGAGAAGCCTGCAGTTGTCCCTCTTCTGTACGCACTCCAGTGAAAACTCTTAATGGAGAGAAACCCCGTAACTATAAGGAACGTGGGAAAAGTTTCATTTGTATCTCAACTCTTACTAATAGTGCAACAACACTCGCTGGAGAGAAAATGTATGAATGTAACAAATGTGGGGAAGTTTTCTATAGTTTCTCATCCTTTAAGACACATGTGAGAGGTCATACATTTGAATGTAAAGAATGTTGGAAAACCAGTGCTCATCCCTCAACCATCACTTTGCATCAAAAATTTCATAGTGGAGAGTGCTCTTATGAATCTAAAAAACGTTTGGAAACCTTTAGTTGTGCCACATCCCTCACTGAACACATAACTCACACTGGAAAGAAACATTTTGAACATTCAGGATGTGCAGAGTTTTTTCGTCAGTCCCCAAACATCAATAATCAAATAAGAACTCATGGTGGAGAGAAGTCATATGAATGTAAACAATGTGGGAAAGTCTTCAGACAACCCTCATATCTCTCTAGACATATAAGAATTCACAGTGGAGAGAAGCCTTATCACTGTAAGAAATGTGGGAAAGCCTTTAGTCAATTTTCAAATCTCACTAGACACGTAAGAACTCACGGTGGAGGGAGGCCATTTGAATGTAAGAAATGTGGGAAAGCATTTAGTGATGCCTCATCCCTCACTATACATAAAGTAACTCATAGTGGAAAGAGGCCATTTGAATGTAAGGACTGTGGGAAAGCCTTTAGTAGGGCCTCATCTCTCACTATACATAAAAGAACTCACAGTGGAAAGAGGCCATTTGAATGTAAGGAATGTGGGAAAGTGTTCAGTTGGGCCTCATCCCTCGCTACACATATAAGAACTCACAGTGGAGAGAAATTACATGAATGTAAGCAGTGTGGGAAAGTCTTCAGTGTATCCTCTCACCTCACTAGACATGTAAGAACTCACAGTGGAGAGAAGCCTTATGAATGTAAGGAATGTGGGAAATCTTTCAGTCAGTCCTCATCCCTCATTAAACATGTAAGAATTCACAGTGGAGAAAAGTCTTATGAATGTAAGGAATGTGGGAAATTCTTTAATCATTCTGCCTCCCTCGCTATACATGTAAGAACTCACAGTGGAGATTGGCCATTTGAATGTAAGGAATGTGGGAAAACCTTTAACTGGGCCTCATCTTTCTCCATACATACGAGAACTCACAGTGGAGAGAAGCCTTATGAATGTAAGGAATGTGGGAAAGCTTTTAGTCGGTCCTCAAACCTCACTAAACATAAAAGGACTCACACTGGAGATAAGCCTTATGGATGTAAGGAATGTGGGAAAGTCTTTACTTGTTCCACATCACTCACTAAACATTTAAGAATTCACACAGGAGAGAAGCCTTATGCATGTAAAGAATGTGGGAAAGTCTTTCGTTATTCTTTCTCACTCAGTAGCCATATAAAAATGCACAGTGGAGAGAAGTCTTACGAATGTAAGAAATGTGGGAAAACCTTTAGTCAGTCCTCATCCCTCACTAGTCATATAAGAAGTCACAGTGGAGAGAAGCCTTATGAATGTCAGAAATGTGGGAAAGCGTTTAGTTATTCCTCATCCCTTACTAACCATATAAGAACTCACAGTGGAGAGAAGCCTTATGAATGTCAGGAATGTGGGAAAGTCTTTGGTCAGTCCTCATCCTTCAGTAAACATAGAAGAACTTGCGGTGGAGGGTCTTTAATCATTCCTCATCCCTCACTAGCCATATAAGAACACACAGTGGTCTGAAGCCTTATAAATGTCAGGAATATGGGAAAACATTTAGTTGGCACACCACACTAATCATTTAACCCACAATGGAGAACTTATAAGGAACATGGTAAAGCTTTTAGTCTTCAAAGCTTACTAAATACACAGTACTCACAATGCAGAGATACCTTATGAATGTAAAGATTGTGTGACTCTAGTCATTCCTCATGCCTTGCTACATGTCTAAGAACTCACAATGGAAGAGGGCTTATGAATGTAAGGAATGTGGAAAAGTCTTTAGTTATTTTTCTCTCTGTAAACATGCTAACAGTGAAGTCCTTATGATTGTAGGGAATATGGGAGAGTTTTCAGATGTGCTTTATCCATTGGAACACATATAAATAAGTCTATTGAAGAGAAGATGTACATTGTGTATACGATGATGTTGAATAGATTTCATCCCTTTTTACAACCCTTGATATTTTGATTATTTCCTTTCATTTTTCTGAATTGGATGAAAACCAATATTTTTAACAGAATCAGGATTATATAATATGTTTAGTGTTGTAGTGGACATGTTTTGTATTGCATTCCATTTTCCTTGCTATTATCGTGATCTCTGATTTACTGATGAGGAAACTGCACAGAAAGTTTTAACCCAGAGTCAACCCACAGAAGTACTACTGTTTCACATGGTGGTATTAAAAGCAGTGTTTTCATGGAAGGATGGATCCTTCTCAGGTCCCAAGGCCATGGTGGGCCTCCACAGAGCCCAGCCTAACATAGCTGCAGTGGAACTTCCATCCTGCATGGGCACCAAGCCTGTTCTTATTGACAGAGTCCCAGTTTTGGTAGTTATGAAGATCAAAGAGTGTATGCCAGGCCAGGATATGAAGCTTCAGTTGCTTGTCTGAGCTGCAGTAATGGATGCTGCTACACCTGGTGTGCACACCCACTGCAGGACCTAGAAAGTTGGGAGTTCCTGTATTAATGGGAGTAGACAAGGGAATGTTGGTCTGGAGGTTTATCCAACACTACTCTACCACATGCTGAACTGGGAGCTGCCTCACTGATTCTTCATGTAAGTAGCCTGGGAAATGGTGACTGTAGGTACCAGAACCCTTCAAATTAGACCTTTCCTTAATGCAGCAGTTCCTGTTGTAGAATCATTCTATGGAAATCTCTGGGTACTGTGATGGTGCTTGTTAATAAAAGTGATAAATAGTGGATACCATGAGAGTCAGTATCTCCCACTAAGGGAGTTCAGTAAATCCCTGACCACACGTCAGAATATTTAACTGCCACTAAATGAATTATTTCCAGAAAACTTTGAACCACAGGAAAGATATTCTTTGCATAATGTGTGAAAGAGTAGGTACATAATGATAGTTTGTAAACTTTTACACATAAATGTTTTACATTTCATAAATGTTTACAAACCAGCTGATAGAGTTCATCCTAGAACATTAACAAGGATTCTCCTCCAAAGGTGAGATTGTGATTAATTTCTCATTTTGCTTCTGCCTGGTTTTCATTTTTTTACATTCATTGTTTATAGCTTACAATATTTTTAACGTTATTTGTAAAATTTGGAAACTACTTCACTTTTTAAATGTGTAGTTATTTTAGGTGAAAAATGCATTAATTTTGGTAGTGTGTAGCACAGTGGTACAGAACAGTATCATTCTTCTCTCCAAAATCTCCTTCATGTTGTCCTTCCTAGTCAGACTTTCCCGTTTTTGAGAATCCCTGGGAACTGTCTTTACACATATCATTCACTATGTGGATTTTTTATTTTGGTTCCTTTCATTTAGCATAATACTTTTGGGAGTCATCCATGTTGATGAGTGTATCGGTAGTTGTTTTTTGTGTAGTCTGTTGTGTAGTTATACCACAGTTTGTGCATTCACCATTGGAGGACAGTTGTGTTTCCAGTTTTTATGAACAAAGCCTAAATAAAGTTTCTTGCACAGATTTTTATATGGACATAAAGTTTTCATTTTTCTCACATATATCTCTGGGAGTGCGATTGCTGTCACACGGTAGGTGTATGCTTATAACGAACTGCTGATCTTTTTTAAAGAGTATGTGCCGTTTTGTATTCTCTCCAGCAATGTAAAATTACAGTTGCTTCTGAGATCTGGAACAGATGCTTTCTGAAGGAACCTAGTACACTTCTGTTTTTCACTGGCATCGGGGAAGGACATTCGGGTGGGTGGCTTATCTGACAGGCAACCCCGCACTTGCTTAGGGGAGGATGTGGCCTGAAGCCATCTGACTATACCACCACTACCACTGCCAGCCTGCTCTGAGCCTAGGGCCCAACCGAGTCTTTTGTGGAAGGAAAATAAAAATACTCAGCTGTCAGCCATGGGAAGTGGTCACTGCTCCTCAACACAACTCACGAGGCCTTGGTCATACGGTGTCCTAGTGCAGAACCTTGGAGTAGATAGGCACAGCTGAGCTAGCACGTCAATTGGTAGCCCTCTTACCACTCTCTCCCTCCATTGTCTTGGCTGAAATAAGTATTCTCTATGTGGCAGGCGGAATCGACATGTTACCATGCAACAGAATTAGGGTCCAGAGGTGGTGATGCAGGCTCATAGTTTCTATCCTAGATGGTTCCCGGTTGCTTCAACCTCTGTGGGTGCTCTGGAGCTGTGGCCTCTCCTCCAAGACAGCTTTTCCCACATCTGCCTAGTCTGCAGCTCATCCAAAACTGCTGGGATCAGGATAGCCATCTTGAGCTTGGGTCGCCAAGAAGAAGCATGTTGGGAAATGCAGGCAGTGCTGTTTCATCTACTGGGCTCCATCCTCCCAAAACTTTTAAAGCAACATTGTCCACTTAGACTTGGTGGTTCTGGTGTGTTCCAGTGAAAACTGAGTGTAATATCTCTAGCTTTAGTTATTTATTGAAGTTTGATAAAGTATATTCAAGTGGAAAGATAGTTTTTCAGCTTATTAAGCTTATGTAGCTAATATGTTTATCTATGAACGTATGAATAAAGATAAATATAAATATACCATGAAAAACAGCTCCACTCAAGTATTCTCAAGTCATCTCCACCTCACCTCAGTTCCAGAGCCCTGATAATCTTACATAGCTTTAAAATATGACAGTCTTTAAGAAACACCATGTGTGCTTATTTATTTTGGTAGCATTAGTTGGAATTGAATTTACCATGAGCAAGGTGAGTTTTGACAGATGGAATTTCTTCCACGTATTTTGACTTTCTTAGCTAAAGAAAATCTGTACTTCCAGTAAAAGGATCAGTCATGACCTAGACTCAAACTGTTTAGGTATCTTATTTGTCTATACATATAGATATATTATTATGATGAAACATTTAATGGTTAAAAACAAACTGAGTCTCCATTGTCCCACCCAAGAAAACAATTTCTCTAGTTGTCCAAAAGTATTAAGAGTTTCCAGGTTTTTTAAAGTTAGGATCCAAAGAAGATTTAGATCTTGCCTTTTTGTTTTTTAATTTCTTTAATATGTTTTATGTATTACATTTGCCTGCAGATTTTTTCTTACTGTGATAAAACTATACATAACAGTGTTTGCCAGTTCAATATTTTCTACCTGTACAATTTAGTGACACCAATTATGTCAATACTGCTGTGCAAATATCACCATATCTGTTACCAACTTTCCATCGCCATAAAATCACAATGTTTTCTAAATGATGCCTCCTTTCTGCTTTCCTCCAATCCTTTGTTACAAATATTGAACTTGGATCTCTATATTTTAGCCTAGTTATTTCTTATAGGTGAGATCATACAATGTATCTTGACTTTCCTCACTGAGCTGAATGTTTTCTAAGGATCATCCATGTTATATAACACGTATGAGAGCATTATTTCTCTTTATGACTGATTAGTATCTCATTGTATGTATGTACATTTTGTTTGTTCTTTCATCCATTGATGAACATTTAGGTTGTTCCCACCTTTTTACTATTGTGAATAGTGTTGCAGCGAACATTGGTATATACATGTCTACTTGGGTTGCTTTTTTCAAGTTTCGGGTATATAACTAGTAGTGGAATTACTGTGTCATGTGGTAGGTCTATGGCTAACTTTTTGAGGAGGTCCTGCAGTGCAGTGAATTACTTAATATGGCCCTTTTAGCCATAGTCTTTGTGACTCCCATGCAATGATTGGGTGGGAATATGCAAATAAGGTGCTTGTGGCCCACCAAGGGGATTGGACAGCTTGCTGCTAATGCAAATAAGGTGCATGGAACCCTGTGAGAGTGGGACCATGCACATAAGGTGTATAGAACCCTAACAAGGGGATTGGTCAGTTTTGCCATCCTGCTAGGCTTAAAAGCCAATCCCAGAGCAGAGGAGGACCTGACTACCACCAAAAAGAAGAGATGGGTGTAGAGCACATCCTTTGAACCTAGGATTCCTGCACTGAGATTGTCTTAGACCCAGAAGACAGAGCTATAAAACTGAAGATGGCAAGACAGTGGGAAGCAGCAGCAGAGAAATAGAAGAGGTAGTGGAACCAGGAGACCGGCAGGAGATGGTGCAGTAAGCTCCCTGGCTTATGGAGTGAGAAAGCTGAGTGCCTTCAGGAAGGAGGCTTGTGGCAGAGTGGAGTGCCTCTAGACATCACAGAGGAGCTAAAGAGCATTGCAACACTTGCCCAAGCAGGGCAGAGGCTCGGCTGAGGGCCAGAGAGAGGCTGGAGAAGAAACTGTACTGATCGAAAAACTATCCTGAGTCTTTGCTGATCCTCAATTGCAACTTGCTACTTCCCTAATAAACCTCATAATTGTATTATCTGTGAGTTTTGTGTGTCCATTGCAGTAAATTATAGAACCCCGCAAAGAAGTAGAGAGTGCCATGGTAAGGTGGTGCCTGGTGTGAGAATTGGTAATTGACATAGTGCTGGAAAATAGGCTTCTCAGCTTGAAAGCTATTCAAGATAT